CGCCTTCGAAGTGCGGAACTTCAAAGAACCCAAAAGCATCAACATTTTCCACCTACTAAAACCGTTTTAGTCTTTTCAGTCACACCAAACGGCTCACAAGAACGTGCTCAATCCACACGCCGAAAAATCCAATCATCCGTTTCAACCGTCTCCGATCATCGGAATTAAAGAATATTCTAGAAAAAAATCCTAGAATTCCCCACTTTTTTGTATATGTATTCGCATTTAGCCACCGGTTTTTACCGGTTTTCTCCTACCTTTAACCTCCTTTTTTTCTTCTCTTTTCCTCATCATTCAAATACACATCATCAAAAATCCCCCAAAACGTCTTTCATGTTCATGTTTTCTCCCTTCCAAAGTTTTAATATTACGAAAAACCTCAAAAAATTGTTTTACAAATAATGTTCCGAAATACTGGAAAATTCAAAGCGTAGAATCTGTGATTTCAACCCTTCCTCATGCTCCTCCAAAAAAGGCCTTTCAAATTGTATGTCAAAATAATAACTGTATAATAATACTCTCCCAAAAAATAACTTATATAAGGATCCTTTTTTTACTGTTTCCCTTCCGATTTTCACTTCTTCCTTATTAATCTGATCTCTTTTCCTTCAATCTTTTCACTTTCTATTTGACCTTATTCCTAACACTAATTTACTCTGCGACGTGTAATACTCGATCAAAACCCCAACTCAGGAATACACACTCATTTGCAATCATTCAATGTTTCAACTTTAAATGATTGGCTCTTTCAAATTGTGAACTCTTTTTTATCATTTATTGTATGCCGGGTCAGTACCCCTTAATTCCAGATTTCTATTGCCCCCTTCAGTTTGTTAATAAATAACATTGGAATAACTTGTTGCTCGCACAAGCCAGAAGAACTCGAAGATTGCCGATAGGAAAGACTCTGAAATGAGAAAGAATGACAGAAGATATTAACAATAACAATTTATTTTTTGTAACAATTACAAATTTAAGCCTTGTTCTCAGCCTCGGCAAGGAAGTCGCGCTTGAGTTTTCCCATGAAAGCACGCTTCTCGGCAGTGGTCTGGAAGCGACCATGTCCGGTCTTGGATGAGGTGTCGATCCACTTGAGGTTGATCTTCTCGTGGGCGACTCTCTTGGTCTGAGTGATGAGGGACTTGCGGAGGGTGATGAGGCGCTTCTTTGGTCCGAGGATGGCTCCACGGAGCATAACGTAGTCCTGGTTGACAAGTCCGTATCTTGGGAATCCTCCCTGAAAATTTCACTTTGGGTAAAATGTGGTATAGGTTATTTGAGATTAAAGTAGTTCTCAGATAAAACTAGTCGCCATACAGAGTACGAATTGCAGACATTCTCTTCATCGAACTAAAAAACTTGAAGGGAAAACGAACCATTGGGTTGATGGTCTTCTGGGTAAGATCGAACTCGGTGGATCCGTTGTTCTTTCCTTCCTCGGTGAGAGCAGACTTTCCGATACGGTAGATCTTGTTGTTGATGATGGTTCTGTGGTGGAATCCCTTCTGTCCAGCGCGAGCGACGGTGAAGGCGACGCGGGATGGATGCCAGGCTCCAATACAAGCGACCTTGCGGAGACCCTTGTGTGTCTTGCGAGGAAGTTTCTTGGTGTGCCATCTGGAGGTGACTCCCTTGAATCCGTGACCCTTGGTGACTCCGATGGTGTCGATCATCTCGTCTTGAGAGAAGACGGTGTCAACTTGGATTTGCTTCTCGAGGTGCTCGCGAGCCCAGTCGACCTTCTGCTCGATGGTTCCTCCGTTGATTTGGATCTCAACGAGGTGAGCCTTCTTCTGGCGACGGCGAAGGATCTTCATCTGAAATTCAGAACACTGGTAAAAATTATAATTGTTTTCAATTCTTACCTGAGTGTGAGCGATCACTCGGATGGAAGAGCAGTACTTCTTCAGCTTGGCGAAATCAGCCTCGATGAGCTTCTTTCCGTCCTCGTCTTGCCACTTCTTGGCGTACTTGGTGAAAGCCTTCTTCTTAGACTTGGCCCTGTAGGTTTCTACGATTACGAACGAAATGCCTTTCAGCGTACAGGACGCCGTAGCCACTCTGTTCGTTGTCCTTCATACACATTAGTGCAGCGGAAGGCAACCGATTCAGAAACGCGACTGCAAATACAGACTTGGAATCACGGAACCATTAAGAGTTAGGCCAGCACCAATATACACCACATACACATAATGAAGATGAAATCTGAAATCAAACTAACCAGTTGCTGTAGAAGCGACGGCGAGCCTCCTCGGACAAGTGCTCGGCCCAGATGGTGGTAAGAGCACGTGGTCCTTGTGGGGTATCGATGTATCCGGTGACTCCAGCGATGACCATTGGTGGGGTCTCGATGATGGAAACAGCCTCGACGACCTCCTTCTTGTTAACCTTGGATCCTGGCTTATCGACATCACGGACGATATGGGTCATACCGGCCTTGTATCCGAGGAAAGCAGTCAAATGGATTGGCTTGCTAGCGTCATCCTTTGGGAAAGCCTTTATTCTTCCACGGTAAGTACGGGAGCGCTTCTTTGGGGTGAATCCCATGTGTCCATGTCTCGGAGCCGAGAATTTTCGGTGAGACATTGTTGTACCCTGCAAAACAATTATTTAGAAGTCGAAAAAATCAAGAGCAGGAACACGAAAATTGAGGCGCGACAGTTGACTGAAATACTAAAAAAATAGGTGAAAACCTAATTTATTTTTCGAAAATAATTTAACTTTAGGCTCATCAAAAAAATACATGCATTTGTATTGTACTGTATTGTATTTATTACGTAAAAAATACGTGGAAGAATAAAAAGAAAAAAGAATGAAAAAGATTTTTTCCTGAAATGAACCACAAAACAGAGTAAAAACTGCTGAAATCATTCTAGTTTCGCTAGAAACCGAAATTCAGTCGAAATTTTGAGAAAAATTCACAAAAAACGGACAACTTTCAACAGGAAAAAGAACTGAATCGAAGTTTAGGCCACAAAGTCGCGAGTTTTTAGGTATACACTCCGCCGCACACTTCTGCGTCGACGAAACGCACAAACACGCTTTTACCGTAGTGGCGCGGAGAGAGAAATGCGCGCGCGTTCAAAAACAAAAAGACGCAGAGAAAAATTCGGTGATTTTCTAACATTCCGGAAAAAATAAATTCATGAAAATGAAAAAATAATAATTTTCGAAACGAAAATTGTCATAAAATTAAAAAGATTCGGATTTAAACCTAAAAAAACTTTCTATAGACTTTAATAACCGAAAGGAAACATCTTAACTTCATCATTTTTCTCTTTTTTAGCACGAAAATGAGAAAAACTGGAATATTTGTGTATTTTTCGATGCTATCCAGAATTTTTACTACCATTTTTTTGACAAGAATTTACGATAATTTCCCATTTGTAGACAACTTTCCTGTAAGAATTTTTATGTAGTTTTCGATGATTTTTCTCTTTTTCTGCGATTTTCAAAAATTTTCGGAACGGAATTTCGAAAATTTCGACTATTTCCTATTTCGGAAGCTCTTTTCGGAGTCCAAATTTGATTTTTTCGGAATTGAGCTTCTAGAACTACGGTGTGTTTAAAGGCGCACGCAAAAAGCTTCCTTGTGAGTATCGATTGGAATTCCCTAAATTGTTTATTGCAGTTTCGAAATCGGTTTTTGTCAATTTTTCCGACTTCGTGATGGGAAAATGGGATTTCAAAATATCCCGAAACTCTTAAAATCCTGAAAAATTCAGAAAAAAAAAAATCAAATTTTGTCGAGCTGAATCATTTACTTTTTCGTTTTCAGGGATTCAAATAAATTACTGACAAGAGAGACACTTTCAGAGACACTGGAATTAAATTCTACACATGCGAGAAAAAATTTTAAATACAGTCATGTAAACGGGGGGCGAGTTAATGCTGACAGTTACAATGAAACGGGGAAAATAGTGATTATTACAGGACTAAAACAGTAAAAGCTCATTTTTCAAGAATGTCAAAATTTGGAAGTTTATGCTCTCGCAGAACGTCCAGAAATGAGTTGCTTGATGACAGACTCGTCGACGAGGGTGGTGGTGTCGCCGATGCCGCTCTCCGATCCTTCAGCAATCTTGCGGAGGATTCTACGAGTGACCTTTCCAGAGCGAGTTTTTGGAAGTCCTGGAGCCTCTTGAATGACATCTGGCACAGCCAACGCTCCAATCTTCTCACGAACCATCTTCTTCAACTCGGCGACTAGCTTCTCGTCGATCTTCTCTCCCACATTCAGCGTGACAAAAGCGTATGGGAACGATCCTTTGATATCATGGGGAGCAGCAACGACAGCAGCCTCGGCTACCTTCTCATGAGCAACAAGGGCAGACTCGATCTCAGCAGTAGATAGAAGATGTCCACTGACGTTCATGAGATCATCAACACGTCCTGTGATCCACAAGTAACCATCCTCGTCACGTCGGGCACCATCTCCAGTGAAATAGTATCCGTTGAATGGAGCAAAGTAGGTCTTGACGAAACGTTGCTCATCTCCATAGATACCTCTCATCATTCCTGGCCAGGCACGATCGAAACACAATGATCCCTCTCCTGGTCCCTCAATCACACGTCCTTCAGCATCTAGAAGAACAGGAGAGGCACCGAAGAATGGCATAGCGGCGGCTCCTGGTTTCATTGGAGTCGCTCCTGGAAGGCAGGTGATCATATGTCCTCCAGTCTCAGTTTGCCAGTAGGTGTCGACAATGGAGACATTCGAAAGTCCAACCTTCTTGTACAACCACATCCAGGCGGCTGGATTGATTGGCTCTCCAACGGTTCCGATAACCTTCAGGCTTTTTCGGGAAGTGCTAAAAAGAACAAATTAATACTGAACCCCAGAATTCTAGATTACCTTTCAAGCCACTTATTTCCGAGAGCCATCAGAGCACGAGCGGCAGTTGGTGACGTGTAGAGCTTGGTGACACCATACTTATCAACAGCATCCCACATTCTAGAAGGCGTCGGATAGGTCGGCACACCCTCGTACCAGATTCCCTTGAGACCGTTCATGAGAGGGCCATAGAGCAAGTACGAGTGTCCGGTGATCCATCCACAATCGGCGGTGCACCAGTAAACGTCGTCGTCTTTGGCGTCGAATGTGTACTTTGTAGTGGCGTATGCATATGTCATGTAGCCGGCCGTCGTGTGTTGGATTCCTTTTGGTTTTCCTGTGGAGCCAGATGTGTAGAGCAGGAAGAGAGGGGATTCAGCGTCCATCCATTCTACGGGAGAGTCTATGCCAGAGCACTTTTGCATTTCTGTTTCGTATACAAATGTGATTTCCGAATAGTCCGCCTGGAAAGAAATAAATAATTTCAAATAATACTATTATTGGGTTTAAAAATCCCCAAAGAACCGAAAAAATGGGCTTTTTAGCCCCAGAGCCTTAAAGTAAATCAAATTTTACTTTTGGAAGTTCCACTCCATCCGGCTTCGTCACTCGCTTTAAATGCTCCACCATAATGACAGCTTCCACTTTGACGTCTTCTTGAGCGGCAAGTGCCACAGCTGCATCCGCAATTGACTTCAGCCCAATCGGCTTGGCACCACGGAACACTCCATCAGCTGTCACCACTACTCTACAACGAGCGTCGACGACGCGAGCAGCAAGAGATTCAGCAGAGAAACCGGCGAAGACAACAGAGTGCATTGCTCCGATACGTGCGCATGCTAACATAGCAACGGCGAGTTCCGGAATCATTGGAAGGTAAAGAGCAACGACGTCTCCGCGTTGAACACCGTGAGCACGAAGAACTGCCGAGAATTGGACAACTTGTGCGTGCAACTCTTTGTAGGTCCATGTGGAGACGTCAGATGGCTCGTTTCCTTCAAAGATATAGGCGATTTTGTCTCCCAGTCCTCGTTTGATATTTCGTTCCAAGCAGTTGTAGGAGATGTTTGTCTTGGCGCCATCCATGAATTTACAGTAGACTGGCCCAGCTTTGGCGTCGAAATTGTACTCAAGTCCTTTGGATGTGCCTTGCTCGAAGTGAAGGTCAGAGGCAACGTTGCGCCAGAAACCATCAGCATCGTTGATCGAGGTGCGGTAGAGGTCGTGGTAGTTTTGGAGGCCAGAGCAGTGGGCACCGGCGAGAAGAGGTGCTGGCGGGTTGAAGATCTGAAAGAAGTTATTGGGTTATTCGGGTTTCTAGCTGGCCTAGGAATCCAAAATTGAAGATTCTTGGCCAGTGTCTGATTTCGGGAATTCTCGACTGTTTTAGGTATCTTATGATGGCCTAGAAATCCAATTTCGAAATTCTAGACCATTATGGGAATTCGGTGGTCTAGAAAAGCAAATGTCGAGATTCTAGGCCATCATGTGAATTCAGTGGCTTAGAAATCCAATTCTAGGCCACTGCTTGATTTCGAAGAATCACGACCGTTTTAGATATCGTGTGATGGCCTAGAAAACCTAATTTCTAATTTCTTGGAAATCATGGAAGTTAGGTGGTCTAGTTATCCAAAATTCGAGATTCTAGGCCACTGCTTGATTTCTGAGATTCACGACCGTTTTAGATATTGTATGATGGCCTAGAAACATAATTTTTCAATTTCTAGTCCATCATGGCAATTCAGTGGCCTAGAAATCCAAGATTCGAGATTCTAGGCAACTTTTTGATTTTAGGGATTCGAGACCATTCTAGACATCGCCAGATGGCCTAGAATTCAAATTTTCCAACTTCTAGGTCATCATGGAAACTCGATGGCCTAGAAATCCAAAATTTGAGATGCTAGGTCATCATGAGAATCCGGTGGTCTAGAAACCAAAATTTCCAAATTCTAGGCCATCATGGGAATTCAATGGCCTAGAAACCTAATTTTTCAATGTCTAGGTCATTATGAAAATCCGGTGTCCTGGAAATCCAAGCTTTGAGATTTCTAGGCCATCATGTGAATTCCGTGGCCAACAAATCCAAAATTTTAAATTCTAGGTCATCGTTGGATTTCGGGGCCATTCTAGACCAATCTAGACATAGAAGAATGGCCTAGAAACCCAAATTATCAATTGTTAGGTCATCAAACGTCAGATTTTGGCCTAGAGACCCAATTTTCGGATTTCTAGGTCGCCAAGTTCCAGATTTTTAAGGGTTATCGGCGTTCTTTTTTTGGAATTTGGCGCTATTTTCTGGTTTTACAAGCACTAAAAAATTGAAATGTCTAGTTGAAATTTTTGGGTCAATGGCGCCAAACTCAAAAAAAGTGTTAGATGCTCCAAAACCCAACGAATCCTTACATCCTCATCCTGCCCATCCTCTCCATTGGTAAGGTTGAATTTGACGCGAACGTCCGACATGTCGAAGGCTGCAAAAATGAATCATATCAAGGTCACCTCCTAGTGCACACAAAGATAAAAAAAAAGATAAGAAAATGCGGGAAAAAGGCGTGAAAATGGCGCCATATAAGGTAGAAAAGGTGGGGGCAAAGAACAGAATGGGGAGCTGTGAGAGAAAAATGGAAAAAAAGAAGAAAAAGGGAGAAGAATTCTAGAAAAACTGAAGGCAAAACTCAATAATAAAGGGAAGGAGACGGCGGGAATTTAATTTTGTGTTCTTTTTCTTCGTTTATATTTGGTTTTGGTACCGTCTGGTTTCCAGTAAAGTCACGTCAAATTTGTCAGCCGTTTTTTTTTGTAGATGACTTTTGCAGCGTGTTCTCTGATACGAGAAAAAACGAAGAACGATCAGTGTGTCTCGTTGATCAATGGGGTCAAACGGTTGGGAGAGAAAAAGGAGAGGGAAAAAGAACTTTGACAATAGAAGAAAGATAAATAAAAGTGGACTTTGTAGGGGCAGAATGTCTTTGTTTTGAAACGATTTAATGGTTTTAAATGGTTTGGGTGGTTTATTGATGTCGGGTTCGATGAATCAGAAGATAATTTTGAAACGAAAAAGTAGGTCAAAAAGGTTTGTGAATCTAAATAATTCGAATTTTTTTGTCGAGCTTACTTAGAATTTTACTTCTATTTTGTTCTAGGAAAATGGCAGCGGAATTCATCTGAATTTTTTTTTAAACTTAATCTAATTTTCTGTACTTTGTCTCTCATTTATTTAGATTATCATCTGCAAAAACCACAGAACATTGTCTTCTTTCTTTTGAAATATTGCGAATAAAAAAAAAGAATTTTCAGAAAAAAATTCAGACCGCCGGGATTACTGTAGATGTCGTGAGATTAAATGCAAAGAGTGCGAACACCGAGACAACAAATTGCACGAATTTGAGATTTCCAGCTTTTTTTTCAATTTTTAACTCAAAAATTTTGTGTTAATGAATTTCCAAATTTTTTAATAAATTCTTTTTGAAAAATTACATAATATATTTTGTCTTTTTCTTTGAAATATCACGAAAAATTAGACTCCAGAAAAGTTTTACACCGCCGGGATTACTGTAGATGTCGTGAGATTAAATGCAAATTGTGCAACACCATCATAACAAAATGCACAAATTCGAGATTTTCAGCGATTTTTTTTTCAATTTTTGACTTTTTGAAGCTTCTCAACAAATGTTTTCTTTGTAAATTTCAATTTATATAACAAAAGTTGCAGAAAAACGCTGCAAACTTCTGCAAAATCCGGCTTATTTGCTCGAAAAAGTGCAGTAATTTAGCGATTTTTCAAAAATGAAAAATGTCATTTTTGCAAAAAAGGAAAAAAAATGATACAGCAGCTAAACTAACTAGAAGTTGAGCCGGAAAAAAACTCTTTGAAAATATCCAAAAACAAAAAAAAAACGAAGAAATCGGAGCCGAAAAGAAGCTTTCAAGCAGAAAATATTCTCACAAAAAAGAAAAAGAAAGAAAAGACAGAATAAAAAAGAAAGCGTCGTTTTTGCGCACTCCTCCTCCTTTTCTTCTAAAGTCTTCCCTCTGGATTTTGGAAACCCCCTGGAGGTACGAGAGAGTGTTAAAAAACAAGAGAATTAGAGAGTAGCTGAGGAGAAGCGCCCGAGAGAGGCTGCTTGGGGACAGCCGAGGCACCGACTGAAATATAGGCACCGAATGAGAGGCGGGGCGACTTCTCCCTCCGTTTCGACCACGCCCCTTTGGCATTAGAGCGCGCTTGCGATGAGTGTTCTTTGATGCAAGCGCGCGGAATTTGAATTGTGAAATTTTGCTAAAACGCCGATTTTCAGCTTCTTTTCTTTGATTTTTTTTTGGGAAATAAATCATGAAAATGAATCATTTTGAATATATTTTTTATTTCAGATGTCAGAGTTCGCATCTCGAATCGTAGAAGTCGTAGGAAAGCTACAAAAAGAGCTGAGATGTGGAATTTGGTAAGTTTTTATCGAAAAATCGAAGAAATTACAGTTTTTTTGTGATATTCAGCAATTTTCGCATTTATTTTCTGACCTATTTTTCGATGAGCTTCATCGATATTGAATTCCCAAAAATCCGAAAAATTGCAAAAAATCGCATAAAAGTTGAATTTATGTTCTCAGTTTCTCTATAAAGTTTATAGATTTTAGCATTTTTTAAAACGAAAATCCGACAAATCACATAAAAACAGTAAAAAATATTCGAAAAATCGGGGAAAATCGCAGGAAAAATTTCAAAAAAACAGATTTTTCGACGAATTTCATCGATTTTGCACTTTTCTTGAAAACAAAAATCCGAGAAATCGCAATAAAAAAAATAATAATTCATCGGGAATTTGAAAAAATATAAGCTCCGTCCACTTTTGAATTCTAAGCCGCAACACATTGAAATCAAACCAAGGTCTTTAAAAACTATTTCCAGCTGCTCAACATTCAAAGACCCAGTCCACGCCACCTGCCATCACAGCTTCTGCCGATCTTGCCTAGATTCCTGCTTCCAGCGAAAACGAAAAGTCCAATGCCCAATCTGCCGAACAATTCTGGACAAACGAAGCTGTCGAGACACCTTTCAAATCACACACGCCGTGCAAAACTATCTAAAACTCGCGGAAGCTTTCAAGCAAGATATTGAAAATATGAAGACGTTTCGAACATTACCACCTGAAAAGGCGTTCTTGGAGAGTCAAATGCCACTGGACGTCACTATTATCCCAGAAAACGATGGAAAACGATGCGCTCCGGAGTTTGCGATCCCCTTGTTGCCGGCGGTAGGGATGGAAAAATGGCGCTAAATTTGAAATTTTGGGATTTGCAGAGACGAAAAAGAGCAAGCAAACCTGCAGAACCATCTACCTCCGATCCTCCCACTGAATTCAGCGTTTTCGCTGTGCCAAAATCGCCACCGAAGAAAAAGTCAGTGCTTGAAAAGCCTGAAAGGACTGAATCTAAAGCCACGCCACCAAAAAAGATAGATTCTGGAACTACAACAGATCCTTTGAAAGTCCAACTTGCCGAACTGCAAGCGCTGGACATACAGGAATATATAGACGCCTTCCGTCCGTTTTATACCATTATTCTCGTTAATTTGAGCTAATTTTTGCAGAGCAATGCGGCGAGGACGATGAGATAGATGCACTTTTCAAAGTGATGCCAACATTGAGAACGTTTATTCGAAAGGTTGGGAATTTGAGCTAATTTTTGGTGGAATGATCATGAAAAATCGGGAAAAACGAGTGAAAAATAGCCGAAATCTGCTGAAAAATCACCTTGAAAATTCAAAAACATACTTGCAACGGGCCGGGTTTTCAGAAAAAAAATTTTCTGTATTTTCAAAAAAACTTTTGGGGTCAATAGAAAAAAATGGACAATTTTTCTGTCAAGTAAAAAATTTTTCAAAATAAGAGTGCCCATACAAAATGATTTTTTCACAAAAAATTTTGAAAAAATGTCTGAAATTTCAAAAAAAATTCAAATTTGGAGAACCCGGGCCCTGATTTTGCAAGTATGTTAAAAAACACAACTCCCAACCCTGTTTTTATCCTTTTATCAGCTTGCTTTTATATATTTTTTTAGTCCTTTTCCAGTAAAAAATTATCCAGAACCTGTGCATTTTTCTGTGCGGTGTACGGTACCACGCTTGCGTACCGTACACCACACCGTTCGCGCAACAAGGAAAATTGGCGGAAAACTCAAATTTTCAGTTTTAAATCCGAGAATTTCAGAGTTTTGGCATACATTTCAGCTAATTTGTGATGGAAGGAGCATTAAAAATCAAAATTTAGATCGGAAAATCTACTGAAACTAGCCAACATCCGCGGAAATTATCTAAAAATTCGAAAAAGTTCCTCTAAATTTCAGACTAAAAATTAAACGACAATTTTCATTAGAGCAACTCTCAGCACTGTTTTCTATCCTTCCTTAGCTTTGGAGCTCAAAATTTTCAGTCTGACTTCGATTTTCAGATTTTTAGCTTGCAAAACTTCCAGCACCTCCCACACCCATTGACAGTAACCCAGACTCCTGGAACCTCACAGAAATATTCTTTTCTCCTGTTTTTACGATTTCAACCCCGAAAATTCGATTTTCCGACGGTTTTGAGCATTTCCGACGAGCTTAAAATTTTTTTTGGAAATTTCGCAATTCTTCAGAAATTCCAGATTTTCAGCAAATCTATCGATTTTACTGGGCTGTCTTGTCCAAAATATAGAAAACACCAAAAATCGAATATTTTAACGAAAATTCAGAATTCGCCGATCAGTTTCAGGCGAGCCAGATATTTCGCAATAGTTATAGTCTTGGAGCATCTGAGTGATTTGGCGAGTTTCAAGAGAAATCCTTGGGTGTAGTATTAAGCCTATCAATGAGCTATAAAACCTGAGTCGTTGAGTTTTTAGCGCTAACTGCATAGGCTCAAAAAGCTTGGGCCAAAACAATATCTAAAATATGGAAAAAAAAATTTCTGCGGTTTTCAGCGATTTTCATCTATCTATGATTGATTTTCACCCTTCTAATAGAGATTTTACCATTTCCAGAACGTCAACCAAATCATCAACAAGCTTTGCGTCACGATTCCAGCCACTGAAAAACGAAAATCCGACAAGCGAGTCTCGTTTGCCAGCAGTCAGGAGCTTGAGCAGCATCGGTATCCGGATCCAGTAGAATCTGTGGAAACTGTGCTAGACGAACCAGTGGTGATAAGGCCGAAGCCGAAATCAGCAGAAGGAGAACAGGATGAGGTTGTGGAGGATTCAGAAGGAGAGGACGATGGAGATACACAGGATATCGCAGAGATTACTCAAGTAGGCTTTAAATCACTGGAGCTAACCAAATCACTAGAATTTTTCAGTTCACGGAAGGCGACGACACCGAGAAGGCGGTTCAAAGCGAGGCGGATCGAGTGGACGAGGAGCTCTCCAGGCTGCCGAAGACGATCGTCTGCTCCAGAATCCATAACGATCGGGACGAAGTAGTGGGCTTGATTGCATGCTAGAGATTAGGCATTTTAATTGAGTTTTCTAGGAGCTCCTCTCGGATTTCTACAATAGGTTCCTGTCGAATTCGTGTCGATTCTCGGAGCAAGTCGATGAGCATACGACGCATTTGGTCATGATGAACAGTGGCGAGTAGTTAGCAAATTAAAAAAAAAACAAGCTGAAAATTTTGATTATCGTTGTCTGAGAGAAATAATTTTGATAAAAATATCGTTACATATTCCTAAAAGCTCATGAACGAGCTACTGTATTTTTGAGGCCTATTTTCTCAATTTTTGACGATTGTCATCATTTTTTTGATGTAAATCGGGAAAAATAAATAAAAAATTGAAAAAAAAAATCATTTAGCTCAAGGAATACTATAGAACTTTGAGAACTTCGGAATTTTGGGAATTTCGGAGTTTCGGGTTTTTTGAATTCTGGAGTTATGAGAATTTTGTAATTTTGGACTTCAAGATATTTAGGAATTCTGGGGACTTCGGAATTTTGCAATTTTGAGAACTTTGGAAAGTTTTGGAATTTTATTTTGAGGATTTTGAGAATTTCGGAATTCTGGAATTTAGAAGCGTTGAAGTTTTGAGAATTTCGAAACTTTCGGAATTTTGTAATCCTGAAATTAGAGGTCGAGTTTTGGACCGCAATTTGCCGTGGTGGTGTTTGCAGAAACTACTGTACTGGAATTGGTTTGTACAGTAATCGTTCTTCAAACACCATCACATCAATATGCGGTCCCAAAGCTTCCAGTAGAAATTTCCAGTAATTTAATAAAAACAACTTTCAGACGATCGTGTAATTCCGCAAAAATCGCTAGCCTACATCCAAGCGATCGCTCGAAAATGTATCATCGTTGGACGCGAGTGGTTCGTCGAGTGTCTTCGAGTTGGGCTCTTGTTGCCTGAGGTAGTTTGAAAATTTATAAATTTATGCGAAAAAATTCAGCTTGAAGTACCCAAAAAAGACCCAAAAACTATCTCTAATTCACACCAATTGACCTACAGTAACCCTTCAATAATTGAACATTTCATTTTTTTTTTACTCGGAAAGTTTGAAAATAAACAATATTTTTTTGCCATGAAAATCGTATGGATTTCCGTAAAATTTTGGAATTTCCGGAGTTTTAGAGAGCCCCTTTAATACAGGTTTTGTTACAGTGTCTCTCTCAATTTTCTGATTGTTCAATGTTTCCTTTTTACCAAAATTCCAAGCTCCTTTTCCATAGTCTCACCAGTTTTGAATGTTCCGATAGAATGGTCGATTGTGAACTGATAACCGTGATAAGTGTGCGATCTATGCTTCTAATCACACCTCTCCTGATTCGTATTCACGTGATACCTGGAGTACCTGGGGAGGCTTTGAAAATGGGGAAGAACTCAGAAAACACTCAAAAAACTGTTCATTGGGAAGTTCTTTGGGGTAATATTTGGGTTGTTGGTGATTTCTGGAAGAAGAGAAAAAACTGATAATTTTGATTGAGAATAGAGAACGGGGAGAAATTGTTTCATTGAATTCCAAAATACCGAAATTTTTCAAATATAAACAACCGAAATTGAGAGGAAGAACCTTCTAGAATGGCGAACTCTGAAAAAGTGGGGTTACTGTAGTTTCAAATATTGAAAAAAAGGTCTAAAAAATCTGAAAAATCCAAGAAATTTGCAATTTGATATTTCCTGATGCTTCCAACCTCAAAAAAATTCGAAAAAATTGAAATTTCAGAAAATCTCGAGTAAATTCAAAAATCTAAGAAATCATTCCGAAATAAAACCGAAAAGTCTAAATTCCAAAAAATTTGAAATTTCAAAAATCTTAAATTTCGGAATTCCACAAATTAAAAAAAGTTCCTGATGCTTCTGAAAGGAAAAGGGTATAATTCAAATATAGCCCCCTACCTCAATATGACCCCCACTTTATAAACAACTATAGTAGAGCCCCCCACCAGTACAAAAATGGGTGGGGGCTCTACTGAGGTGTGGGGGGCTGAAGTTGAATTGGTTGATTAAAGTATGACCCCCACCAGTACAAAGTGGGGGCCTATACTTGAAGAACCTGGTATTCTTAAAATATGGCCCCCACCCCTTCCTGCCTTCTTCAATTAAAGGCCCCCAACCATTCAAAAATACCATTTTTTGGCCTAAGTCCCCACCATTTTTTGGCCTAAGTCTGAATTTTAGAATGTTTTAATTTTGGAAGTTCTGATAAGATATAGCTGACAAGTATTTTTCAAAAAAAGTTCTCAAGAAACAAGGAAAAATGATGAAAAATGACACAAATTCCGAAAAAATCAAAGAAAAATTAAAAAAAAAAAAAAAGTTCAAAATTTGCATCATGACGGTTACACACAATAAACTACGCAAAAGTGTGGGTCTATAATTGAATGGGTGGGGGGTTTTTATTGAATTGGAATGGACCATTTAAAAGTGGGGGTCTATATTTGAATTGGTGGGGGAATTATTTTGAACTGTTCCAAGTGTCTAGATTGTTGGAGGTGGGGTGCTCTACTATGGTTCATTTTGGGGGGCTATACTTGAATTGGGGTGGGGGCTATATTTGAATTCAGCCAGGAAAAGTTGAAAAATGGAAATTTTTAAAAATCTCTGAAAATCTAAAAGTTCGACTAAATTCAAAAATTCGTAGTTGCATGCGGGCCGGCTGATAACTTGTCTCTAAAACGAGATATTCAGACGGTTTTGGTACCAAACGATGCATCTCAACAGGGCCCATCACGCCTGTATCATTCGAGCCGGATTCCGGTCCGATAACATGTCGAAAAATGTGTTTGAATGATAATTTTCAAACTTGACAAAAAACAGATTTTTTCTCATTCAAACACATTTTCGACATGTTATCGGATCGGAATCCAGCTCAATTGGTATGTGCGCGATGGGACTTGTCGAGATCTATCATTTGGTACCAAAATCGTCTGAATATCTTGTTTTGGAGACAATTTATCTGCCGGCCCGCTTGCAACTATGCAAAAAATCTGATTAACCATGAAATAAAAATCTTTATTGTAAAGAACCCGAAATTCGAAAAAATTCTGAAACCAAAAAATCAATCTTTGAATTCAAAAAAATCCGCAAATCCAAAAATAAAAATTATTTTACAATCGAAATTTTTTCCAGGCCGACTACACCATAACCAAGTGTCTCTCGACGATTTCTGCCCAAGTACCACCTAGAAACGGAAAAGATATCGGTTGGCTTCGAGCGAGGAACGATGAGCATGGCAAGCTTTTCGATGGATGCCGCTTTATGATACTTCGAAAGTTTACGAAGAGCAAGCATTTCGATTATAAGGTATTCAAGACTATTACTGTTTCGAAAACTACCGTAACCTAAAAATATTTATATTTCATCGATTTTTGTTATAGAAAAAATTGACATTAAACACATCAAATCCGAAGAAATAGATCCGGAAAATTATAATGTTCTTAGATTACTGCAGTTGTCGTTGTAGGGCCTTCGGCCACGACTCTCATGATAATCCTTGTTTTATCTTTCATAATTTCAGCACCTCATCGAACTGGTTCAACTGTGTGGCGGCGAGATACTGAGCAGTTATGAGAATCAGAAGCCGGAAAATCTGTACATAATATTCTCGAAAAACTCGGAAGCAATCGGTGAAGCACGCAACATGAAGGCTCTGTACAACTGTCAAGTGCTCACAATGGAATGGGTTTTGGATAGTATCAGCGAGTATTCGAGACTTCCAACGGAGACGTATCAGGCGGTGGATGTGAATAACTCTGATTGATTTCTGAATATTCTTTTTATTTATATGTTTTTTTCGCTGTAAATGGTATCCCTTTTTCTTTTCTGTTTCTTTTGGTGTAAAGTCATATATATTTTAAATACACTTTTTAAGCTTTTTTTGCGCTTGGAATATCCGGAATTTTGAAAATTCTGAATTTCAGGTTCATTTTGTAAGCAAGATTTTTTTTCAATTCTCATGATTTGTGTAAAATTTTAGGCCTTTTGAAGTTCAGAACTTTCAGAATTCGGGTGGCATTCTATTTTCGATGCACAACAAGCAGTGGACATTCAATAAGGACTCCTATTTTACAATGGATCTTATCATTGTTATCACTGATAACAAATGCAAAATTATGTGTTTGTGAATGTAAAATACATATTTAAAATATGTAATTTTAAAACGTATCTTGGATTAATTGGAAATTTTGGCATTTTAAAATTTTTAAAAAAATTCCTGAAATTTTGAATTTTGAATTTTTTTGGAATTTTAGATTTTTTTGCATTTTTTAAAAGTTTTGGAATTTTGCAGATTTTTTGAAATTTCTGAATTTTGAATTTTTTCGGAATTTCAGACTTCTCAGATTTTTTTGAAAATTTCTGGATTCAGGAATTATCGACTTTCAGAACTCTTGGAATTTTTGAATTTTCGAAAAAATTTCAAACTACAGTAATCCCAATTTTTCAATTTCCACAAAATTGTTTCTAGAAGTTTCTCTACCTTTCAATTTCCTTTTTTTCGTTCCTCGTCTAAACTTTTATTTCTGACTATTCTGACTTCTCTGCGCTCTCTCCATATTCCACGATCCCTCTCTTTTATCGGAATCATCACGTCTTCTCCTCACTTTCTTCTGCCACCACCGTCCCTCTCTTTTTCGTGTCTGCGTCTCTTGTTTATATCTCTCTTTTTCTGTTTTCTCTGCATTGGCGCCATGCGCCTGACGGCAGAAAAATCGAAACCTTGTTTGTTGCCCTTTTTCATTGAATTTCCTGGCAGTTTAGTTATCAGTTTGGTGTTCAAAAATATTCGCAGAACGAAAACTACCGTAATCCTTATCTGTTTTTTGGCTCTTTTTCACTATAAAAATAGGAGAAGAAAACTGTTGAAAATCTTTGAGAAAATTCCTTGAAAAAAAACTAATATAAATTAAAATTACGGTAGTTTTTTTTACTGGGTTTCAGAAAAATAAAAATCAAAAATATCGGAAAATGTGGAATTAAAAAAAAAAGGAAAACCTCAAAACTCAAAAATTCGGAAAATCTGCAATTCAGACATTTCTACCGTAACCTGAAAAATCCATTTTTTAAGCACTTCTTCCCACTGTCATAAATAATTCGAGGTTACTGTAGTTTTTGTACTGCGATTTTCGAAAAATCGTATTTTTATGTCATTAGAATATCACTTTGCTCTTTGAGCTCCATTATATCGGTCCCTATAATCGTTATCAAAATTTTGCCAACTGATAAAATCTCTCTCTCTCTCTCTCTCTCTCTCTCGATGGGGTTCTAAATCAGTCCAGAATTTTCAGAACCATCATGATTCTTGAAGTGGAAATCCCACTCAAGTTTCCTGGGACCACTGCACTGAGCTACATCCGTCGCAGAGAGGTGTTGAAGAAGCTCCCATTTGTCAAGTATTATATGGATGAGCATGTAAGTTAGGCATCATCCAATGCTTATTGCCGTATCCCTTTTCAGCACCCCGACTGGTACCAAAAAACAATCCGTCTCACCACGCCACTCGAAATCGAATTCAGCAAAGAGGCAACTGACTTCTTGCTCAAATACATCACCATCTACGTCTCTCCAGCTTTTTCTTCATACCAAAAAGTTGATACCTCCTACAAACAAGCAACCACCAAAACGCTCGACCAACTCAAAGAGATCATCCAATGCGCGGAGTTCTTCGGATGCTGCAGTTTCATGGACTGCATTGGATTCGTCATTGCTCATAAACTGAACCGCTTGACTGTCGATGAAGTCAACACTTTCCTCGATCCACAGGAAGGAGAACGCTATAGGGAGTGGAGAAGTGCATTCACCAGACGTCGTACCTAATATTTCCCTTCTAATTCTAACGCATACATATGTATTACCCTTCACTTTTAAAAAAATTCCAATGTGATCGCAACTAACATTCTACTCTTCCATGTACTGCTTTTAGTAAAATCTAGTGCCTGTAATATTTATTTCAAGCCATATATAAAGCTAAGAAATTTCTGATGAATAAAGATCAAATATAATGTTGAATGTTGAGAAATTCCGGAGATCAAATTGGTGCCTTTTTAGCTCATTTATCTTGGTTTCTGAGTGAGATATCGAAAAGTGCTCAACTGATATAAAGTTTATCATAACATCAGAAATATTTTATAACTTGACACTTTTTGATATCTCCCATAGGAACCAAGATAATCGACGACAAAATGGGCACCTTTCGGAAACAGGCCGAGTACGCGACCGGAGGGCATCTCAACTTCGTTTCAACTTATCTCGTTTTCTGTAAAATATATCAAAACGTTGTCAACAGACAAAATGTGTGAAATCTGCAGACAAACCTTTTTTTAGTTAACCATTTGTTTATATTTTTGAAAGGGGCCGAGATAAACCAGGTCAAAGTTAGGTGGTCTGGAGCGCGGTGGAGCGTGGTGGTACCTGGTGGAGATCCTAGAAGAAATATATTTTTGATTTTTTTTCTAGTCCAGGATAATAGTAATTTGAAAACAAAACTATAATTACCACAAACACGATTAGAATGATGAAAAGTATACCAATCAGAGGAAATCCACAATTAGCACTTTGAGCGCCACCACACTGCCAACTTTGACCTGATTTTTCTTGGCTCCTGTGGGAGGGATCAAAAAGTTGTTTACTAACAAAATTTTTATCACCATATCAGACACATTTTGTTGGTTAACAACTTTTTTGTACCTTTCATAAAAACGGAGATAAATTGGGTCGAAGATGACCTTCCTTAAATGGGCTGTTATTGCTCAAGCACTACTCTTGTCTTAATGTCAAAAATGCAGGTAAAAACGCAACTTTAAAACAGCAATTACCGTAATCTTTACATGAAAGGTTATAGCAACCCTAATTAGAAAAGTTATGGTCCCATGTGACCCCGGTCTCTCATGACAACCTATTCTGCCTCTCGTCTTCCTCTCCTTCTTCCTTTCCGTTATTGTATCAGGAGAAACAGAGAAAGAGGAAAACAAAAAGGAGGACCGATGCAAAAAGTGATGTCATTTATTTATCTCTCCCCGCCCGTTCTGCCACCAAAGCCTTCTCGCCATTTCGTCTCTCTGTCTTCTAATAACCAATGTAGACGATGGAAATGAGCGCGTTTGGATTTGAACTACTCGAGGTAATTATAGATATTTTTTTAGATTTTGAAGGTGGTGTGCGGTGAAAAATTTTGTTGCTTTATTTAGTGCAGAATTCCATGTAGATCCCCATAAAAATAAAGAAAAAATTCAAAAAAAAATTCCTTCATTGAGAAAAACGGCATCGAAAAGTCAAAGTGGGAACCGGTGGCCTAGCGGCCAGGTGTGAGTTTTCTAGGCCAACTTCCGGTAAAAGCGCGCGAAATTCGAATTTTTATTGATTTTCA